AGCCACAAGCCCTATTAAATAAAATGCATCATTTTACAAAGAACTCGTTTGTAGGATTAAAAATGCTGGAAATCTTCAGACAGTGAGTCTCTATTAAGAAATACCATATTTGTTTAAGATTATTAGTAATGCATAAACTCATGAAAATGACAGGTGTGTGCGATATAATCAAAATAATTCATAATTTAATGACCTGGGGCACAAAACATGTAACAGTTGTATTACATGTGCTGCTATTGGAGATGTGTTTCTAATAGAGCAAATATGGTATAAAATCACACAGTATAATACTGTTTAAAATGCAAATAGGAAATGATTCGAGTATATTGAAAAAAATTGGGTGGTTAGAGGTGACAGCTGATGTTTAATATAAGGCAGTGGTTTCTTTGAAACTTGGGATGAAAATAGATATACCGATATACTAATGAAATTGTAAGTAAACAGGGTGGAAGCAAGTGCATGGAAAAAGATTCCCTCACAATTTTAAATGATCAATCCTTAATCTGTTGAAAGACAAAATTTGGCTTATCAGTTTACAGCAAGGTATCTTTATCTGACTGGGTGCTCACAACTTGTCTGTCTTTAGACAGAGGTCGCAGTGACCTTCCTGAAATGCTGTCCTAACAACGATAGCAAATGATTAGAACATAACCATTTCTGGTGGTGAAAATTCCACATTTCAGAGATGACAAGTACTGTAAAATCTGTATTAGAAGCCGCGGCTTCTATTAAAATGGTACAATGCAACAGAGGGGATGCGGCTTCTATTAGAGCATGTACACATATGAGAAATGATGAATTTTTTATTCTAAATTATTCAAAAAGAATGGGTGCGACTTCTATCAGGGATGCGGCTTCTAATACAGATTTTATGGTAGAATGATCGGAAATTAGTAAATAAGTGTTTTTGGCTTACATATGAGAATGTGATAAAGAGAGCCTGATTGTTGCATTAATGCATATTTTTGTGGCAGTTTAAAACAATTTCTTGTGTTTGTTGTATTTTTCAGTGGCTAACCAACGTGGTACTAAAGATGACAGCGCCGTTAATGCCCGAAATGGACACCTGTCAAGTACGTATCTTAAGACAACACTTTTCATCCTTGTCTTGTCAATACTTTAAAAATAAATGGTTTAGTAATCCTCTATTTTTCTGAAACTGACAGCAGATGGAATCAAAGTCTCAAAATTTGGCTCTGTCATTTCATGTTCGGATTTTTAAAATTTAATTTTAATCCCTTTTTTAAGTCCTTTAAATGCATTGATAATTCACTGGTTTTCATTTTTGCCATTTTCGCCAACGAGTAAATTCTGCTAAGTTCAATCATTGTTTCCCTGCAAGTTTGTGAACTTGAAACCCAGTAAAAATTGCTTAAAACATCAAAATAGGGAAATGTTTTTTCTGTACCTAGTTGTATTTGGTCACCTTGACAAAATTCAGATGTATTAAACTTTTTTTTTTATAATTTTTCAAAACATTGGTAGACCAGTAGTATATTTTGTCATATTTCCTTTCATGGAAACTACATGTAATTGTTTTGATTTTTGCTGACCAATAAAATTGGTGAGATTCATTTACGCAAGTTAAACTTGAATGCAGCACCCAACCACAGTCAACAATAAGATTTATCGCTAATCTCGTTCACCGCTGTGTGTTTCATACGAACAAATTGTACTAGATTGTACAGATAAATTTAATCTGAAGAATAATTTGTTTGAAGTTTCCATTTCACTGCGGCTGCCTTTTTGTTTATAAGGCTTTTAATTTCTGTGTATGTAACACAAACATGAAACTTAAAAGCTCTACAAGATGTACATATGGGGGGTATAACCTCTCAAAAACACGGTGTCATCAAGAGTCATGTCATTGGATCACATTTTGACCTCAATATAACTGAAATCCGACCTTACAGTAGATCTACTGGAGGGTCTATGCTGAAATGTTTAAAAAAAACATTCAGTTTAGGCTCTCAGATGGCATTGATGTGTATTTATTAAATCATGCCTGGTGGGAAAAAACAAGGTTTGAAGCACGTGTTACATACAAAGTATATATGCCCGGACACATTACTTCCCAACAATTTTAGATGAGCCTACATATTGCATTTTGTTATACTGTGAAATACTTTATTTCCACTTGCAACTAATTCACGCTATTTTTGCTGAAGGAATGATTTAGTGAAAATAAAATCCAGCGAATATACCTTTTTTCATGTATTTTCCATTCAACTCGTCAAAAATCTGTGCAAATAAATCCCATTCAAAACACCTAAAAAGTCTTTTCAGTGAAAATTATTTTCAGCTAAAATAAAGTATTTTACAGTATTACCTTAGGGTAATCACCTTTATAATTTCTGTTAGGTATGTGGTTTGGGATGAAAAAACAGTATGATTCATACTACAAAGTAATGTCTGGCCATATCTTGTTACATATCTTTTGATCATTGTAATTATCATATTAGGTGAACCAAGGAAGAGCTCTTAACACACAGCAGCTGTTTATAAAGACAGGTCCTTCACTTTTCACACTATCTCTAGTCATCCAATTTCTGGGAAATCTATTGATTGAGTGTGATGTTCTAATTTATTTCTATTACGCAAACAAAATGTAATAAAACACTTCCTATTTAATTTTAATTGACACTGTAAATATGATGCATGCTCTATATTTTACGTAATCTGCACTATTACATGATATCTCGCAATGGTCTTTTCTGTCTAATTACATATATATCAAGTGGTATAAAGATTAATGTATATTGAGCAACTATTTATTTACTCCCCTAGTGTTTTGTGACGTCATGCACCGCTCAATGGGAACATCTATGGTGATGTTACAACCATGTTTTTTTATTTTGCGTCAACAGATGACGTCTTTACGAGTTATTTGTCACTAACCACTACAGTCTGACGAAATTGTGTAGAAGTTTACGTAATCAGTCAATCAATTTTTGGAAATGCATATTTTTTAATGTAGTTTTCAGTAATTTTTGTTCAACATTGCATGTATATTGTGAACTATTTATGGTCGATCAAAACCCAAAATAATATCTACAGAAAATTTGAAAAGTTACCTTCATATTGCTTCTCATGTTGTGGTGATATTTTGTAAAATATCCTACCACAGTAACTTAATACATACGGTAATGTCACTGCCAGTAATCTTCAAAATGTATTAATCTGAAAAATAGATTAGTCTGTTTTAAAGATGTTGATTGATACATGTCTGATGTATTAGATTATTTTGAGTGTACAGCAACGAAAGTACGGCAAGAGTATTGACCTGTAGGTTAATGTGACTGCACTGTATATGCAAAAAAGGAGTATGGACAAAATCTCAATGGTGGAACTCACAAGGATAAAATCCTGATGAAACACAATCCTGGCAGACAAAATACCAAAGCTAAAATTTAACATTAAAATTACATTTAAATTTTTTTTTTTTGTTTGGCATCAAATTATATTTCACACCGCCATTTATACTGCAATCTTTATTAACCAATCACCTGCTCATACCATTGCGTACTGTTCATATCAGCTATCCATGACGGCTTCCAGTAGCCAATGCGTTGTCATTGAATTTCAGAAGGTTGTGTATGTAGAATTAAAGACAGACATACTTAAAGATATAGTTTTGTTGACATCTCAAGTGTTGGCACCAGAATTTTTCCTTGAAGATATTGTCTGTCAAATTTTTCCACAAGGATCAGTTTGTGGGATTTTGCCATACTATCTGTGTATACTTGGCAGTACTCTTTCCCAGAAAGACAGAGATTTCATAGTAGGCCATATTAGTAGTAGTATTTTACATTCTATTCATTCTTGCGAACAAAACTGTCTTGATTAAAGTTCAAATCACACAACTACATCACAAACATGATTCATTCATAGAGGGCGCTGTTTATAGATTTGTCGCATAGAATAAAGATGAATGGCAATTAGAAAACAAAAAATTATTAGAATGAAAAACATTGATTTGGGAGTTTAATTGCTTTGTTCTTGTCTCTAGTATCAAACTTTAGGTCAATGCGTATTATGGGATGGCTGAATGTAGATTGAGTTGGTGGTTGACGTCACATTTGCAGTCAAATTATAGAGCGTCTTTTTTTTTACGTTCTTTTATGATAGCACAAAGAATATTAATGAACATGTGTAAACTATTGATTGTGTGAAAGACCCAAGGGTGTTGTTATTTTGTTCCAAACCGATTTATCCAAGTCATGCATTGATACACTGAATCAGTTTAAGCTGCTTCTCACATAACCTAGAGGTCACACATCCTGGTACTTACTGGGAGTGTAAATTCACTGTCAATTAGAATTTCTCAATTAATATCCCAAAAATGCAAGTAGTTGTCATTGAGGTTTTAAAGAATGGTAAAAAAGGACTTATAGTATTTGTTGTTTTGACATAATAATACCTCCAGAAAGTACCAGGATGTGTGTCATGTAAAAAAATTATATGGGATTATTATTTTTCTAGACATACATAATGTGTATAAAAATTAATATATATTCCATGTATTTCAAGAAGGTGTACTGGGTTAGGGACAACGTCAAAAGATCAATGTCGGATAAAAAACTTAATTCCTTTAGTTTTTTTCCAAACCCCCCTACCCCCCACTGAAACTTAATTGATAAATCTTGGTCATGGCGTCAGACTACATTCACCATTAAATACAAATTGATAATCGGACAGTAGTATTGCATAGCAGTTGGTTGTCGGGTGGGTGTAAAAAAATTTTACAAATGCACCTCATTTGACGCACAGATGTACACTCGAACCAAACCATTTTTCTGTGTTTTTTTTCCCTTTCCGGTTATTTCTGTCTATGATTGGATAGAAAAAAAAAACGAACTACATGTACAAATATTTGTTGGACTTCATTAAAAAATAAAATCCTTTTTGTCGGATGGAAACTTTTTTAGGTCAAAACCCCCCATCCCCAAACTAAAGGAAATAAGTTTTTTATCCAACATCGATCTTTTGACGTCGTCCCTTAGTTGATCAACTATTGGCCCAATTCCCCAAAATAAATTCACTGTCTAACAATATTAATATTGTCAGATTTATGGCTAATGTGAAACAATATATTTTTGGCATCATTGTATACCTTGAAAAGGGTGGATGTAATGACAGTTGAACAAAGTGGTTTGGGAAAAAGTCTCAACAGCCTGACAAAATTATAATTCAGTATTTATTTCTATTTTTATATTAATATTGCACTTTTTGTGAAATTTTTTGTAAGTCAATGTCAACTTTTATCACATCCCAAAATAAACCCTTGCAACAAGACTATCAGCCAATGGAAAATTGGCTATTTGGTTTAAGGTTAACCAAAGTATTATATATAAATACATACAAATTTGAAAACTTTTGCATCCAAATTTTAATATCTTTAATTGCTGTCATTGATATAGTTCAATCCAGTGATGCACATCTAGAGCAATAATGTTCTCACCGAACTACCACATATTTTGTTTAAACCTTTGAATGACATACTTTCACTAGATAGCCGCTCTTTTTGACATAAAATTTCAAAATTTTGTTATATCAAAAACTAGAAGTAATGTCACATTTTGTCTGTTTGGTCCAAAATAAAAATTGAATTTAGTGAAAAGTACAGAAAATGTTTAGAAAATGTGATTAAAAATTTAAACTTTTTTTATAAAAAAATATAAGTAATGTCACATTTTGTCGGTTTGGTTCAAAATTAAGATTGAATTTAGTGAAAATTACAAAAAATATGAAAAAAATCTCATTTGAGCAGAATACAAATTTGACGCTCAAAAAGTTAACTTAATATTATGTGTAGTTCTAGTATTTTCAAGTAATGTAATATATTCCCCACTATTCCAGTAGAATTTCAAAGAGCAGTTTCAATGGGGGGGCAGGTAAATC